GAGAGAGAGAGAGAGAGAGAGAGAGAGATAGGAAGGGTGGAGGAACAGGAACAATCACGAGGGTCATAATGAAGAAAAGACCCTCTTAACGTGACCGTGTGTTGTTATCCACAGGAAGCTTCCCGTGAGGTAATCTAGTTTGGCTTATGGCACAGCGGACACACATACTAAACTAGCATTATCATAACAGGTTATAAGGGATTAACTAATATAGAAATGTTGATATTAATTTATTTTATATTAATGTTTAATAAATACATTTTTAAATTAATTTATATTATTTTTTAATTGATTACTATACTTTTTTATTTTCCTTTATAGTGGTCAATTATTTTTATGTGGCTGATATGATGTCGGATATAATAAATATGTAAAGTTTTGCCTGACATTTTTACAAAAGTGGCTAAAGCAAATCCTTCACTTTGACATTGTTTTAAGTGAAATGCAGCAATCAAAAATGTTTGGTACTTTTGAAAGCTTCTGAGTAAACAGTTTGAACTGACCTAAAAAGTAAAAGACCTGATATTGTGACATTGAATACAATGAATATAAAGAAAATAAAATTAATCCACAGGATAAAAAAATTAAAAAAGGAGAGTTGCGAGATAAAAAAAAGCCAAATTGCGAGATAAAAAAACTTCCACAGGGATATTCTAATATCGACCTAAACAAACTGACAAATATCATTTAGAAATGCTTTTGATTTGAAATTCGATGTTAACACTTCATCAAGAAATGTTTTAATTTGCAAACATGCTGTCAGTTCAAAAGAACCTTAAATAAATAAAATAATGACATACAAATACTATGAAACAATCAAACTAAAAATGCTTCCATACTACAGCTGTTACTGGAGACCTGAGGATATTTGACATGAAAACTATTTCCATGCTAACACACAGCTTGTGGAAGATGACGGATAATTTGCATGTACGTCCTAATGCACTTGTCATTCCTGCTTCACATTGATAACACACTGTGTTCAGACTCAAATAATACAAAAGAGACCAGTGTGAGCAGAACCAAGCGGCGTGAGGTTTGCTATCATTTAGTCTGAAATCAAAACAGTGAAACACAGCAAACATCAACCACAGAAAGGTTTGAGAGAGGCTGGGAGAAGCGTGAACAGGCCACACACAGATCTGCTCAGGAAGGGCTATTGACTAGGTGGATTTTATATGTATTTGCAACAATGTAGATCAGGCCAAAATGGACAGATAAGCTGTAAAATGAGGACTGGTGGCATGTAGCAGCAGTGATGGGTGTTATCTCCATGCAGGCTGTGAGGGACAGTGTGGTTTCTGAAGAGCATGAGGCAGAAGTGAGGGGAGAGCACACTTTGAGAGTGTGGAGGAGAGTCAAATCACACTGCTGGCCAATCACACGCTAGCTGGAGCAAGCAGGGCAAAGTTACCTGAGTTGTAAAAATACGGGCCCTTGTCTGGAAATGTGTCAGTGGTGGATAGACAGTGATATTTTTTGAAGGAAACAAAACATGAAAACAAGAAACATATCAACAAAAGCCAACATACATAAAATGTGATGTCCAGATTGATATTTTGATATCAGTTCTGGACATGAAAATAATACAGGAAATACAGTGTCATATTATGATTTTTACAATTCAATTTCAAAAAGGTGAGGTTCTTGCAATTTTAAACAGATAATATAGACTACCGTTCAAAATGGTAAATCAAACACAAAATGATGATGAATGATTGACGTAAAAATCACACAGAAGTCACTTTCCACATATAAAAGTGGCCCTGAATTTGTTTGAAAACATGATTCAATGTGATTTTTGCTGTTCACACAGTGAGGCAGAAATCAGATTGAGATCACATTTACTATTAGTAAGTTACAAAAGGTACTAATATGTACCTTCAAGGTACTAATATGCACCATTTAGGGTAAATATGGTATAAAGATGCTTTTGTACCTTAGGGCCCCGCCCCAGTGACAGCTTAGTACTTTTTTTCAGAGCGTGTATGTTTACTGTAACAGTAGGTGTGTGTGTTGTACGTACTCTGCAGCCTGCGTGTGGGGCTCTCTCCGTGCAGGAGGCGTCTCTGCATGTAGGGCGAGGGGTTCGGCAGCGGCATCGAGGACTGGTCGTGTGTTTGGAGCTTATACCAGTGAGGCTGATCGTCCAGCAGCGCCGTCTCCAGCTCGATCAGAATCTACACACACACATCCGTTTATGACGACTTATGGTGTTTTATGAGCTTAAAGGGGTCATAGGATGCCCATTTTCCACAAGTTGATATGATTCTTTAGGGTCTGAATGAAAAGTCTGTAACATAGTTTGGTTAAAATTTCTCAATGGTAGTGTAAAAAACACCTTTTTTACCCTGTCAAAAACAGCTCTTTTCAGAGCAAGCCGTTTTTGTAGCATTTTCCTTTAAATGTTAATGAGCTCTGCTGACTCCGCCCCTCTCTTCTGAGCTGCTCTCAGAGAGACTGTTTACTTTAGCCGCATTCATTGTGAAACTTGCTAATGTCAATCAAACTATCGTGGGAGGGGCCTGTCTGTGTGACGTCACACAGACAGGCATCTGAGATCAGCTCGATTTGAGAAAGGGGTAAAGATTTTAGTAGATTAACAAAAAAACACTGGGTGGATTTTTATCATTATAGGGTGGTTGTGTACACACACTGCCAACACACATTTCAGTTCAAACAACTTGTATAAGTGCATGTAGCATCCGATGACCCCTTTAAGGTTTAACTCAAATGTGGAATATTTCTTGCATTAAAAAAAAAAAGAAAAAAAAAAAGCTTGAAGTAAGCCTTTGCCAAGGAAGTCACATAACTGATTTTAAACTCAAACTTATTTTCTCTTGCATCCCACTGAGTGAATATTGTGAGATGTTTGTGGCATTATTAGAGACGTGCAGCAGGACGGTGTCGGTCTCTCTCTCACCTCTCCCAGGAACTCGCTCTCCTCCTCTCGGACTCTGGCCTGGTCCCACAGTGTGATCTCCAGCATGCGCTCCCTGAACTCTCGTCTGTGCACCGGCGAGTACATGAACGTCTGGTTCCACTTGGGCTCCAGAGATTTCTTCACTGTTTTCGTTCTCCTCTTGCTTTTATCGCTGAGAAGAGCAGGTGAGTTCATAATTTTACAGCTGCTGATGTGACCATACAGACCCACAGAGACAATAAACCAATCCAAGGACCCCTGATTTGAAACTTTGCATTAAAAGCAAATATTATTACACACAATTATTCATTCATTCATAGATTTTTTTCAGATATTAATTTTCGTTTCTTACTTACAAATGGAATTTACATCTATTATTATTTTATTATCTGGGTTGCAGAATATTTCACATGCATTTCCCCCAAGTTAAAATCCTTTCTGTAAAGGGAGGATTTTGAAGATTTCACTAGCTTTTGAATCCTTGGTTATTAAAGTTTGCTGTTTTTCAATGGGTTTACTATAAATTTGATGATTAAGTAATTGTGATTTTGCTCACTGTGGATAGACGCACAAACATACCATATATCTGCACTTTACCTCTTGAAATTTCTGCTTTGAGGATTCTCCAACCTTTTATTGTTCTGTTTTAGAGTCTTCAATATTGTGTGCTTTGCTATTACCAATACAAAAGCAACCACTGATGTTATTACAATAATGCTGCTGCTGCTGTTTTCAACCACCCCAACCCCCCAAAATAACAATATTAATAAAAATTAGGGATGCACCGATACCGATACTGGTATCGGTTGCTATTACCAATACAAAAGCAACCACTGATGTTATTACAATGCTGCTGCTGCTGTTTTCAACCGCCCCAACCCCCCAAAATAACAACATTAATACAAATTAGGGATGCACCGATACCGATACCAGTTTACCGATTACCACGAAATAAATTTTGGTTTGACTGTATCTATTTTATAAATTAAATTAACCAACTAACATTATACATACTCTTTTGGTTTCTGTACCCAATATTTTAAAAATGTACAAATGTAATGAAAATATTGGTATCGGTACTCGGTATCGGCAAGTACCAAAAATAAAAATATCGGTATCGGGCGAGTACTGGAAAAAGTGGTATGGGTGCATCCCTAATAAAAATAGAATCAATATATTTAGACACTTTCAAATACAACTGAAATGATTTTGATATGAATATACATTATTTTATTTTAGAAAATGTTGCATTTTTAATTAGAATGACATGAAATTACATAAAAAATGTAACTGTCTGTTCTTTTGAAATTTCTATTCATTAAAGAATAGAAATATTAAAAAATATTATACTGATTTCTGAAGGATCATGTGACACTGAAGACTGGAGTAATGATGCTGAAAATTCAGGTTTGCATCACAGGAATAAAATATATTTTGAAATATATTCAAATAGAAACTTTAAGTTGTCATTATACTTCACAATATTGCTATTATACTGTATTTTTTATCAAATAAATGCAGCCAATGAGCATAAAAAAACTTCTTAAAAAGTGTACACAGAAATTACATTTAAAATATATTCAAAAAGAAAACAGTTATTTTCAATTATAATAATATTTCACAATATTACTGTTTTATTGTATTTTCGATCAAATAAATCAATAAATTACAGCTTTGGTGAACATAAGAGAATTCGGTAACACTTTATTTTAGGGTCTATTAACTAGTTGCTTATTAGCATGCATATTACTAGAATATTAGCCGCTTATTAGTACTAATTAAGCACATATTAATGCCTTATTCTACATGACCTTATTCAACATCTCTAATCCTACCCAATACCTAAACTTAACAACAACAAATTGAAATAAAATTTTAAGTTGAAGTTTAGGGTGACGTACTAAAATTAAAAAAAGTATGTAAACATAATAAAAGTATAATAAAAAAAGAAAATATAAATATATAAAAAAATAATAATAATATATGAAAAAAGCACATAACAACATTTGTAAAACTTAAACTAAAATTAAAATAACAAAATTAAAGGCAATTCAAAATGTCAATAAATACTCACTGGAGTTTCATGCAATGGTCTTCATTTATGCTGACAATTTACATAAACATTGTTTTACAAATGGTTTACACATATAAAGTCATGCTTGTTTCAATCTTGCCCAATACAGCTAATTCTCAAAAGGATCCCAATAATGTAAATGTGGTTTTACTTTTATTTTACAAACTGAGGGACGAGTTTATGGAATAACTGGCAGTATGCCACAGATGGACAAACTGGAAGACTGCAGGAAGGTTATGAAATATGGAGAACAAAAATACTCTGAATAAATTAATCATGAAATAATCCAATTCATCCAAAAATAAATGTAATAATTTATTTTGAAATAAATCAAAAGTTGAATGTACTTAATTGCATAAAAATTAAATGAAAAGTTACATGTACATATATTTTTTTTTTAAATAATTCAATCAGTGTTAATTATTTAAATGTGCCTATTTATTTATTAAATAAATAAGTTTGTTGTTTGTAATATTTTGACAAACTTTTAATGACATCCACAATTTATTCTGTAATGTAATTAGTGAATAAGTGTTCCCTATTCTAAAGTGTTACCAAGAATTATTTCGGAAACAAAAAAATTATACCGATCCCAAACTTTTGAACAGTACTGTTAGCGTTGCTCACAAAGGATGCCATTAGAGATTATAATTTAAAATCCTTACAAAAACTGGATATATCTGACGTGCACGCACCTTCTGTCGGGGAGGAAGTAGATTTTGACGTATGGATTCCTGGGTCGCCCGTCTTCTCGTGAAGGCAGGTCTTTGGCGCCCAGGATAGTGACGATGAGCTGATGTCCTACTTTATCGTACCATAGCTTGACCTGTAGGGAGAGATGGGCTCTGTTAGGAGGTCTGTGAGGAGAGCTCACCCCAGAAGGTCCAGGGCAGACCTGCAGAGCCCCTTATGCAATGTGTGCAGCATCACATGCTTGGCAGATCTTTCCCAGCACCAGCACACACCAACTACATCAAGCTGACTAACTCCTCAGCCTCTAATCATCAGCTAAATTCACCACTAAAACAAACACCAAATTCAACTACTGCTAAGCACTGAATCACATAGTTTGATACTACAGTGTTTAAGGGGTCAGAGTTTATGTTGCGCTTAATATTCCAGGTTGAATACAGCTTCATTACTACAGACAATAATTTTGACTTGTATCTCAGTTTGTAATTTATTTATTTATTTTACAGTACTGCAATGACTATAGGGCAAGGCAACGTGCCAGGATAAATGATAAAATATTAAAATATTACTATTTTGCAGTGTTGTTATTGTCAACTAAAACTAAAATAAAAACTGTTATAAAATAGAAAAGTGCATCAAATAAAATAATTATGAGTATATATATATATGTATATATATATTCTCAAAAATATAAGATTGGGCTAAGTTGTCACAGAATTGCAATAATTGTAATTTGAAAAATGTTAATATTTACATTGGTTGGTCGAAACAATGATTACACAAAAATGTTTTTTTAAATATAATAGTTTATTGAACCTATTCATATATTTTAATGAAATATAAATAAAAAATCTAAAAAAAAAAATCTGTATATATATATTTGCTTATGTGTTTTTTGTTGACTATCATATTTATTACATTTTAACCTGATTGTTCTACAAAATGATGTATGGATAATTACGAAAACCTTGGTTCATTCCACTAAGTGTTCATATTGAAATATACTAACAATATAAATGTCACGCCCATGGACTGTTTGTGTGTGTTTTGCTCCCCGTGACCCAGTTTCTCTCTCTTGTTGATTGTGTTAATTTGATTCCAGGTGTGTCTCCTTAGTCCCCTCGATTAGTCCCTCGTTTTCCTGTGCTTATAAGCCCCAGTCCGTTCAGTTAGTGTTTGTCGGGTCTACTGGTTATGTTTGTGTGTCATTCCTCGTTCCTGTTGTGGATTTACCTCTGTGATTGTTCATTAAAAGACTGTGTAACGCTTCTTTGCGTCTTCTGCGCTCCTTCCCTCCGGCACAGCCGTGACAGAAGACCCGACCAAAAAACAGTTGGTTTACACATATAAAGTCATGCTTGTTTCAATCTTGCCCAATACAGCTAATTCTCAAAAGGATCCCAATAATGTAAATGTGGTTTTACTTTTATTTTACAAACTGAGGGACGAGTTTATGGAATAACTGGCAGTATGCCACAGATGGACAAACTGGAAGACTGCAGGAAGGTTATGAAATATGGAGAACAAAAATACTCTGAATAAATTAATCATGAAATAATCCAATTCATCCAAAAATAAATGTAATAATTTATTTTGAAATAAATCAAAAGTTGAATGTACTTAATTGCATAAAAATTAAATGAAAAGTTACATGTACATATATTTTTTTTTTAAATAATTCAATCAGTGTTAATTATTTAAATGTGCCTATTTATTTATTAAATAAATAAGTTTGTTGTTTGTAATATTTTGACAAACTTTTAATGACATCCACAATTTATTCTGTAATGTAATTATATATTTGTTGTATTTTTTTCAAATATTTTTCACATACAAAATCGTATTTCTAAATCAATAAATTGAATAATACTAGCTTTAATTTCCGAATGACATTTTTATTTATTTCATGTTGAGCACTTCTTAAGTGTTCATTGATAGAAATTCTCAGTCTTCCCAGCATTTGCCCTGCCAGATCACCAGAGCTGAAAGAAACACACGTCTATAATGCACCTTTAGAGAGAACTTGCTATTCTAGATAAATACTGCAGTACTAATGCATGCAGCAAAGCAACAGAAAGAGCTCAATACAGACTAGAGCAATCCAGGTAGCTTCCATTGCAAAAACAGCAGGGGGAAGGCTTCAGTCCAAACAAATTGTACCGTTTGATTCTTCTACAGACGCATCGAGGTCTGTGCTTTTATTAGTTGACTGCATCAGGAAACAGTATAAAATCCATTTTCATCTAAAACTCCATTTTCAAAAACTATAGCAACAACCATTGGAGTTTATTATTGCAGTTAAATGGGAGATCCCTCATGTTGTTCCAAACCCATATGACTTTTTTCTCTGTGGAACAGAAATAATTATTATTAAAATAATGTTTATTATCTGTGAGGTTTAGAGAAATGTTCTACATTGGAAAATGCAATATTATCTTGAAAGTGAGGTAATTAACATACTGTATCTCTTCATTGCAACACAGAACATAATATTTGATAGTACTGATCCAAACCGGGCTTCATTTGTACTAAAAATAATACATTCATTAATTTTTAATACTACAAATGTAGTAAAACATATGCATTTCATACAAACTATTTTCTATACAATATGATACAAATATAACGTTCCATGTTACATGACAAAGATGAAAAAAATGTCTCTCTAAAAAAAAAATCTGTTTAAAATTTAAAGAGATTTAATTTAATAAACGATGCTAAAATCATGCCACATTTAAAAAGAGAATAAAACAAATGGTATATAATTAATTCAGAATATTTCAGCCTCAGCAAGATGGCCGTTCAATTAATTAAGCCAAATTCATACTGTAATAATGAAACAGCTCTTATGAATTGTGGTTATAAATCGCAAGGGCGATGACGTATAACTTTAGGGGAAATAATAAAATCTGAACAAAAGAGCAAAGGGGGAGAAACTTGGAATGCTGCTGTTTTCCTGCAGTGCATTTTCCAAATAACGCACAGAGAGAGAGAGAGAGAGAGAGAGAGAGAGAGAGAGAGAGAGTAATGAAGGATTGAGAAAGACTGCCAGAAATGAAAGAAAAGATTAAAAAGAGACTGAGCAGAGGAAGAGAGAGAAGTCTGACGATGTTACCTGGACCCTAGGGACAAAAGGCGTGGTTCTTCTACTAAGGCATGGACTCTGGATAAGCAAAATTAACAAGAAAACAAAAGCAAAACAACTAAAGCAAAACTGCACAGAGGCACACAAATCAAAACAACCCATCTGAGAAGAGATTTAGCCTAACTGAGTGACGTAACTTATTCATTTCCTCAAATATTAGAATCTTATTTCAGATTCTATTTCAGAATCTTACAGCTGAAATAACCTTAGGCCTGTATGTGAGTACTGAAGTGTGTCAAAACATACTCCATAATGCAGCATAAGTATTATATCCACAGCGACACATCAACACACTTTAACATGTAGTTTTTAAAATAAAAAAACCTGCCACATTAAGATGCATCACTGCAGGTTTTATGTCAATGTAGGGCTGATTAATCGCGATTAATTGCATCCAAAATAAAAGTGTGTTTATTATTCTTACTATTATTATTACATATGTTTCTTAAATATATGCATGCATGTGTGTGCATTTATACAAATAAATACTGTACACACACACATATATTATGTAAACACGAAGGTTTATTTTGGATGTGATTAATCGATTTTACAGCCCTATGCCAATGATATAACATACTGAATCTCTTCATTGTATCAAAGAACATTATATTTAATAGTACTGATCCAAACTGAACCTCTTGAATGCTTTTTTTTTCTTCAGAAATTGTACTAATTGTACTAACTAGGAAAACATATGGGCAACACTTCATATACATTATTCAAGTACTTATAAATCATTTGCAAGCTATTAGCTTATAGTTAATTCATAGTTTATAAATTGTAGTTTCTACATTGTTAGTACATTAATAGGCTATGTACAAATAGGGAATTCTTCATTCACGGTCACTGTAATTTACAAATTATTATTGTTTAATTAGCTAACAAAGAGTTAAATAATGTGTTTTTATCCTTTGTTTTCTACTCATTGTATCCTAACGCTAACTGATGTATTTTAATGCGATCTCATGAGTAGCTGTATGTATTTTATGAAACATTCATTTACTTTTGTTTGCATTGAGATGAAAGCATACAAAATGTACGTATTTACTGTCATTGTACATTTTTTTCATATTTTTTTGTACAAGTGGTTAGGTTTAGGATTGGGAATAAATAAACAAATAAATAAATAAATTTAAAAAAAGGTCACAAAAGCATCCAAAAGTTAATAATTTATAGTAAAGAAACTTTATGTGTATTGTTTATGTGCAAAGTGCACTGATGTATGCCTAATGTATTTGTAGACATTTTAGGAACACTTAGTATTAATGCAATTCATGTCTAATAAAGGTAGGTCATTGCCTTTAATCAAGTATTTTCTGTGACCTAATCTAAAGTGAGAACTATTTACTCCTGATAACCATTAACAACTCCTTTACTCCTGGTTTAAATACTGCACATCAATATGCTTTGTGTTGTTAACAAACGATAATAAAACATTATGTAACTCTTTACATATGAGCTAATGAAACAGTAATTAGTTAACTACTGTCACAATGAATAGATAACTCACTATTTGTGTATATTAACAATGTAGACTACATTTTATAAACTTTGAACTAACAATAAACTATTATTATGATTTATAAGTGCTTTGTTACTGTATACTGTACTTATTAAAGTGTTACCAACATATGCATTTCATTCAAACCATTTTCTATCAAATATAACACATATATAACATTTAATGTTATGTGACAAAGAATGAAAAATGTTTGTCTAAAATAAAATCAGTTTTAAAATTTAAAGAGACTCCTGATCTTAAGTTTAAAAAAACATGCCACATTTAAAAAGAGTAAAACAAACGTCTCTTTAAACGATTTCCCTTAAGTTTGCTTTTAAAACATTTTAATGCATTACTTGTGTTTCTCAATAGCATATAAACATCAACATGCAGCAATGATCAGTACGTGTGTGCGTGTGTGTGTGTGTGTGTGTGAGCGAGTGAGAGAGTGAGAGAGTGAGAGAGTGAGTGAGTGAGTGAGTGAGTGAGAGAGAGAGAGAGAGAGAGAGAGAGATCTGGTGGGGACTTAAACCTGACTACACCAATTACTTGTGGCTCTGAATGTGTTGGAGTCAGACTATCCCTGTGCTCGGATGACTTCTAACACCAGGTACATTCTGCTCAGGGGGAATTGAGTCTGTTGTGGTAATTCACAGGTTAGAGGTGTGCAGTGTGAGTGAGTGAGTGAGTGAGTGAGTGTGTGTGTGTCTGTGTGTGTGTGTGTGTGTGTGTGTGTGTAAAGTATTCTGACTTCAATATTTTAGGATAAATCTCCCTCATTCCAAACAAAAAGAAATCAAATTTACAACAGCGCAAACCATAGTGAGACACTAAAAGCATCACCCGGACAGAAGAACAGACAACACTTCAGTGCAAAAACAGAAAAAGCACATACATTGTTATTATTATTAAACAGCATTTCCTTTTTAAACACAATCTCTCCACATTTAGCATGTTCACAGTTGTCGCTACAGCTCGTTTCCTTATTAAACAATTAAAAGGCACAATAATGGCAAATCTGTATCCATGCCTGAAGCACTTTACTGTACTGTATGAACACCTGAGTCAAACTTACCTCGCAGATGTATTAAGACACTGATAATGCAACCGGTGTAAATTATTGAAACGCTAAACGGCAGTAAAGATCGTGGCTGATCGTTCAAGTAAACGCAACAACTTCAGCACAAAGTACAATAGCTAGTCTTTCAAGGGAGTGTGTTTTCCTAACATCTTGATCAGCAGCGCCGTGTCAGAGCCAACCTGCAGAGTCTACGTCAATCGGGTAACAAGCTTGAAAACTAAGAATACTTTTTTCCTGGACTCCGGACGCTGTCTAGCACTGACACACAACTGTCTAGAATCGCAAAACGCACTTGACTGACAAATGTCATACTAACAAATGTAAGATGATGTGCCATTTTACTGTCCGCTATATATTTGAAATAATTTGAAATATCTTAAGATTATGCTCATTAACACTCACATTCAAATTACATTCTAATGCTTGTAGCATTCAGCATTCCACTAAACCTGTCAAAATCAAGTATCAAAATGAACGGAGTGAATAGAAATACAATTTTAATGCACTGGCACAACCTAATTAGTGTGCATTTTCAAAACAGACTGGTTGTTAATTTACATAATTGTGCTAGTCATTTTATACGAATAAAATAGTGTTAATACCGAGTCCTTTGGAGTGACTCACTATCTATTTCTAATTACGCAATCTGATGAGAATCCTCAAACATTTTGTTAATTAGGACACCAACAGCAAGTAAATAAGGCATTTTTATGCTTGTAAATTAGGATGAGGGAGAGTTTTAACTCCTACAATTAATAAAATGTGTAATGTTTATGTCCCTGTGAAATATCTGTACTTTTAAAAACGAATTAGTCACATTGGAGGACCATTTCAATTAACCAGTGAAATTATATACAGGTATATATATATATGTGTGTGTGTGTGTAAACATAATCTGTCTGCTTCTAAATACACTACTGTTCAAAAGCTTGGTGTCGGTAAGATTTTTTAGTCTCTTATGTTCACCAAGGCTACATTTATTTCATCAAAAATACAGTAAAACAGAAATACTGTGAAATATTATTACAGTTCGAAAGAACTGTTTGAATATATGCTAAAATGTAATTTATTCCTGTGATCAAATTCTAATATGCAGATTTGCTGCTCAAGAAATATTTATTATTGTTAATGTTGAAAACAGTTGTGCTGCTTATAATTCTGGATTCGTTAACGAATAGCAATCTCAAAAGAACAGCATTTATTTGATTTATTTATTTGCATATTTTGTAACATAATAAATGTATTTACTGCCATTTTTGATCAATTTAATGCATCCTTGCTGAATAAAAGTATGAATTTCTTATAAAAAAAATAAATGAATAAAAAATCTTACTGACCCTAAACTTTTGAACAGTAGTATAAATTATAACTTACATTTTTAATGTTAAAAAAATAATCCATGTCCATTTGTCAACTTTGCACAAGCTCTTTTATATCATCTTATCTACAACTCTAACACTTTGGCCTTTAGATCTGAGCTGATATCTGTGTGAATGAACAGTGAGTGCTGGCAAACTCCCTGAAGACACAGTGAAATAATCGCTAAACCTCAAAGCTAGCGCCATTTCATCAGTGAAGCCCTGAGTCGAGCGGCCAACGAAAAGTGCAGATGCTGGTACTCACTGAAAGCTGTCCGGACAGATACTGAGGGTTGTCCCGGAGCATGCCAGGACTCATGGGGGACGTGACAGAGATGGACGGGCCCATTTTTTGAGATTCAAAGGAACTTGAACCTGAATAATAGGCGAATAACGTTTAGATCGATCCTCCTGCTGGCAAAGGCAGTGCTAAAGTATGTTTTATATATCAAAACTAGCTAAACTTACTTGATTCAAGTTGTCCATGTGTGCTCTCTGGTATTCTAGGGACATCTCTACAAGAAAAAAATTGAAGAGCATTTTAATGATAGCAGGTGTGTGTCTGTAAAAACAAAAACAAAACAAAAAACACTCAGAGCATCCCAGCCATATGCCAGAAGGTAATATGGCTTGGTGAAATACTGTAGCTAAAATGTAAGGTTTTGAATGAATTTAAATATAAATTCTGATATTTATTTATATTCTCTGAAATGGTTTTAAACAATCATTTTAACCAAACAGCCATTGTTGCCAAGAAGATTAAAACATTTTAAATCAAGAAGTAAAATACAGTAAAGGTAATTAAAAATAATTAAGACATCCACTCTGTTTTTATATAAATTAACATGTGAAATAATTAATCATTTTCATTTATATACACTCTTATAAACAGCAATATTTACATACACAACCAGTCAGAAGTTTGGAATGATTAAGATTTTGTTGTTTTTGAAAGAAGTCTCTTATGCTCACCAATGTGGTTTCCACAAAAATATGAAGCAGCACAGCTGTTTTCAACACTACACCTAATAATAATAATAATCATGTTTCTTGAGCAGCAAATCAGCATATTATACTGATTTCTGAAGGATCATGTGACTCTGAAGACTGAAGTAATGATTCTGAAAATTCAGCTTTGATCACAGGAATAAATTACAGTTTAACATATATTATAATAGAAAACACTTATTTTAAATTGTAATAATATTTCACAATATTACTGTTTATACTGTATTTTTGAACAAATAAATGCAGCCTTAGTAAGAGACTTCGTTCAAAACCATTGAACTATAATTATTCCAAACTTTTGACTGGTAGTCTAAACAGTGTATATTTTGACTAAAGCATGAGAAGTGGCACATGGGAACATTTTGGGTGATTATAAGGAGTGCTTCAATTTTTAAGTGATTAATTGAATCAAAAATGTATCAAACTTCCAAAACCTTGTTTGCACTTTTGCTGCTGAGAATAAAATCTGAGATGACATTAAAGTATCTTAAAGACAGAAGAAGCAAGTGCAGAATTGGCTTGGCGAGGAAATATAATTGCCAAAAAAAAGCATTAAAATATTCACATTGTTAAAGGCACAATATGCAAGATTTTTGTAATAAAATATCCAAAAACCACTTGCAGTGTGATATATTTCATGCAGTTGTTTACTTACATTATTCCAAAAGTTCCCAAGGATTTGTAAATCCAGAGAAATTGAAATTTTAAATTTTATGGCTCGTCCCTGTTCATCGTCGCCTATCAATGACGCAATATCCGCACTATCCTCGGGTTCCGCTTATGGATACTATGGCAACACACATGGACAAATGCGGAAGTGGTAGTTACACAGCATGTAGCGCGCCGCTGTTGTGTATTTCAATTATCATGTATCACGATTATTCATTGGCGAGTGCAGAAAAAAAAAAAAAAACGTAAACGTAAACGTAGACCAACTGAGGCAAGAAGGATCAATATCGGCGTGCGTTTCCGAGATGGACATAGCTTCGCGACAAACTCGGACTTGCCAGAGATATTATTTGCTGTACAAGTAATAGTCATGTACAGGTGATTTTAATAGATATGAATGAAGTTACCCGTGAACATGATTTGTGAAAACCACATCTCCCATCGTTCCACACTCCGTCATAGCATCATCAAGCTTCACCTCTGTTATTGTTTTGAAAATGTGACCTCTAGCGACAAAAACTTACATATTGTGCCTTTAAGTGATTTTACTGTATACTGCTGTCAAAATAATATCACTGATATCTACAGTATATCACTGATATATTGCCCAGCTCTTCAAGGTTAACCTGAACATCTGACCATCTTGGTGCTAGACTCTCAATGGTTTTCATTTTGTAAGTAACAAACAATAATTTCTAATTATGTCAATCTGTCCTCCTAAAGAACTGACCTGAAGCAGAACTTTCATTTTAAGCAGTGAACAAGTTGAAGTTTCTACCTGTGTGTGTGTGTGTGTGTGTGTGTGAATATAAGCATTCATATGTTGGGCTCCCACAGGCTATCACTCTTCATAAAGCTCTACTGTCAAAGAAAATGTGCTCTGTGTCCCTGAACTGACACGTTGAGTATTGGGCAGAGTAATGATCCATCACCCGCTTCACTCACACGATGGGCCGTGAGACCACCAGCTCCACCTGCGGCTCTGGCTTGGATTCTAGAATGATATTGTAAACTTCCTTGAATGTGGCTCCCTGTAAGACCCTCCCGTTCCACTCCAGGACCTGATCGCCTGAGGACCGACACAACACAGCATCAATACGACATCAAATATGATATAGCTGCACTTAAACCAGCGTTAGTTAAAGGGTTAGTTCACCCAACAATTAAAATTCTGTCATCATTTACTCGCTCGCATGTTGTTCCAGAACCATAAGACTTTAATGCATCATCGAAACACAAAGTTTTTAATGAAACCTGAGACTTCTGTCCCTCCACTGAAAGTTAATGCAACTAAAACTTTGAGGCTTCAAAAAGTTCATAAAGACATTGTAAAAGAATTCCATATCACTGTAAAAAAAAAAAAATCTAATCCATTTTAACATTTCAATAGTTGCCTTACATTTTTAAGTATAATCTACTTAGCTGTGCAAGTCATTTAAACTTAAATTACATTAAACTGGCTTAAAAAATGAAGTTGAATTTCATATAACTGATAAAAACATTGTTAATGTAAAACCATAAGTTGCCATGACTTACTGATCATCTAATTTTTTACAGTTTATGAATCAAGGGGTTTAATCAAAACAAATGAACAAAATATATTTTTAATGAAACCTTTCTGATTTCTGTCCCTCCACTGAAAGTCGATTCCACCCAAACTTTTCAGTACATGAAGACATTGTAAAGATAATCAGTTTGAACCAAATGGTTTGATGATATTTTGAATGAAACTCAAGTGATTTCTATTCCTCAACTGAAAGTTCATTCCACCAAAGCTTTTACGCTTTAAAAAGTTCATAAAGATATCGTAAAAGTATCGTGATATCGTAATCCATATGAAGATACTTCCACTGAAAGTCTATGCAACCAAAATGTTCAATCTTCATAAAATTCACAAAAACATTCTAAGTAATTCATTTACATTTTACATTTGGCAGACACTTTTACGCAAAGTGGCTTACGTTGCATTCAAGGTACATTCATTTTGAATGAAACCTAAGCGATTTCTGTCCCTCCACTGTAAGTCCATTTCACTAAAACTTTAAATCTTCAAAAAGTTCATAAAGATACTGTAAAACTAATTAATTTACATTCTGGCAGAAGCTTTTATCCAAAGTGACTAACATTAGAATTCAAGACACAGTTTTTGCATTCCCTGGGAATCCAACCTATGACTTCAGCGTAATGCTCTACTGTTTGAACTCTGGAAAGCTTAAAATCCATATAAATCCAATATGAACGGTTTAATTCAAACACAAATTATGATATATTTAATGAAAAGAAATGATTGTCCCTCCATTGAAAGTCCATTCCACCAAAACTTTCAAACTTCAAAAAAGTTAATTTAGACACTGTAAAAGTAATCCATATGAGGGTGACAGAATTTCCATTTTTGTGTGAACATACCCTTTAAGTTTAAAACACGTAGAAAGGACCCTCTTTATAGTAAGTGTCCTTAACTACTATGTACTTGCATTTAAATTAAAGATTTGATACAATGCACTTATTGTGTACATACATTTTGTCTTATATAGTACTTATATTTGAAAATACCATCCTGTAATTACATCTCTAATTAATTTCTGTAGGTACATCTATAATTACACCCTTAACTCTACGCATTAAACCTAACCAGATCACCAAACCTGCCCCTAACCTAACCCGTATCCCCATCAATAGCAGCAGAGGTGATTTGCAATTCAATGTGAACACAATACGTACATTGTACCTAACAATTCATTACTTTATTATTAAGTACACAGTATTTAACGACACCTAATATAAAGCGGAACCTAAAATCTTTACCCATATACTGTACAGAATCCCATAATTCAGCGGGATCACAGAAGCAGCAGCTCTGACTTCACATGGTCTCAGAGCAAATGCTTTTACGCCTTCCACAGTCTAACGCGAGTTGAAAGAAATGTGTTTAATTGTTAAATCTGAATAGATGTGTTCACCTGGTCGGAGATGGCCGACAGTGTCTGCAAGACTTCCTCTCTTCACCTTCGTAATGAAAGCACAAAGTCTGCCAGACTCTGTTATCTTCCCTCCCACTACCTGCAATACAGACAACAGGCAATGCAAATTATTTCAAATATTTTTTACATGAAACTATAATGTGTTCAATACAAAGGGCCTGAAAGGTGGAATTTAAATGCTGAATGTTGGACCTGTGCTATGGAGAAAGGATGAAGTTCCACATCAATATCATATGTGCTAATACTATGGGTCATGTTCACTAAGAATGAACAGGGATTGCTGATAGTGTCATTTACAGTATTTGCACACATTATTTTAACACCCCACTTACTAAAGGAATCATGCAAATCAAGCAACTCAGCAAATGCACCCACAAAATTAATGCTAAGCACAGTTTGCACAAGACAGTGCTCTCTATTCACAGAAATGTACTCAGATAATTGCTGGAAGACAGCGAGTGGGCAAACTTTCAGGAACTAAAGCACACCAGCACAAATGGTGCCTTAATTTAGCCTTTTGTTTTAAGTGTAAAGGACCATCAGTAACCAATTTATAACACAAGAACTTGGTTACACTTTATTTTAAGGTGTCCTTGTTACAGTGCAATAAAAAAATTAACTACATTTACTTACTAGGGTTGTGACGGTGAGGAAAGTTTCCCACCGGTTAATCGACGTGTGACAACACCGGTAATACCGGTATCACCGTGGGGGCGGGAAGAACTCAATCAAAATTCAGCCCACAATAAGGTCAAAGTTCAAATGATTAAGAGAAAACTGTAGTAAGTACACTGTGCATTGTGTATGAAGTTGATGGAGGGTTTGCTGAAGATCTCTTATGATCTAGGGTCATTAGCATGGCTTTGTTCGAGTGAACTTTGACAGTGTTTGGGCATCTCTTACCTTGAGGCCCAGCAGTGCCCCAGTGTCTCTGGGCACCGTGCCATCTTTCATCCGCTTGTTTAGCACTATCCGCCCTATTAGGCGCTCTCCATCTTTGGATGGTTGCCATGTCACCGGGTGCTACGGGGTCAAAGTGACAATACACTTCTGGTTTTTATACAAGCATCCACACACTGCACATTACAAACACACACACATGCACAGGCTCAGGGAAATGAAAGCAGGAGGTGAGCACTCTTATTTGCTGAAGACACAAACCGAACCACGGTGTCACTTAAGACAAGTCAACATGAAACACATTCACAACCCATTTTACTTTGTAATTATATATTTGAGTGAAACAGTGTCTGTTTACTGAAAAGAAAATGTAGGATGGGATTTGATTTTATCCATTGAGATGTGATTGAGTCATGACCAGAATGGAGTTACAAGATTGGTAAGAGAAGATGCTAACACTTGAGATTAAGGAACACTATTCACTATTAACTAGTTGCTTACTGCCATGCATATTACTAGCATACTGCCTGTTTATTAACACTTATAAAGCACACATTAATGCATGACCATATTCTAGATCTCTTAACCCCACCCCATACCTAAACATCACTACTACAACAACTACCTACTTACTATCAATAAGCAGCGAATTAGGAGTTTATTGAGGGAAAACTCTTAGTTAATAGTGTGTTCCCTATTCTAAAGTGTTACTGAGAAGATTTGTAAGAGAGAGTAAGAGAGATTTGCAATGTCAGCTGAAAACAAACATTGTTGTAGGCGGAGCAGGTTATTTCATTTTGATGAATTATGAAGGCAAACCTTTTTTTTTTTTTAATCTTTGGAATAACATGCACACATGAATTGTTCCCAATAAGACCAGGAACACACATTAAGTAAGTATAGGGTCTGTTTTGATTTCATGCTGACTTTAAAAGGGTATTTTTGTGTTTCTTGTCATTATAAATTTATAAATACTATAACATTTATGGTATTTAAAGGAATAATTCAAACAAAAATTAAAAATCCTTTCATAATTTTCTCACTCTCATGTCATAAACTAATATAAGGAAAAGCCTGAAAATGTTTTCATCCACTGTAGTTCTCATATCTAATATACACTCAATTCATATGGTGCATTAAGATATGTTGTGGCAAATTTGATCTCAATTATGTATAATATAATTGAGCTTTTTCCCCCTTGACACTAGTGTAAAAGTTTGCACCACATTTAAACTGAATGATATTTAAGAGCTGCAGGGAAGGGGAAGATGATCAGTTAATAACATTTTGGTCTGCTCTGCACAAGGAAATGGAAACTGTCTAGGCAGAAAATTACCAGTATGTTTTTTGTTAACTTTATGGACATTTACTTTAACCCTAAAACACATCACTATGCAAAGCATATTTAAAACATGGGTAAAACACCTGTGAAAATTCAATATGGACATCATTTTAAAGGGACATTTCACCCAAAAAGAAAATTAGCTGTTTATTTACTCACCCTCAGGCCATCCAAGACATACTGTAGATGAGTTTTTTGTTCAGTAGAAAAGTAAAGAAGATTTTTAGCTGAAACCATGGTCCTTGATGATTCTGTCCGAAAGAATCATTTCGCAAAAAAACGTACTTCTCTATTTGCCTGAGGCTCAGGATTACAGGTAATAATGTGGTAAATAATGTTCAGTTTTTCACACAGACCAATCATTTCGCTTTATAAGATCTCATTATATCATCAGGAGCCATAGGCAATGTTCCCTCTAAGCTGCGCGCGTGCGCGGCCACGCACTTCTTTCATCACCACCATACAGAAGAAATAATATTCCGCGCACAGGACAGATGCAAAAATAAGTTGGGAAAGCCATTTGATTGAATTTTAGTAACCGGTGAATGCGGCTTACAGGTTTCATAGAAAGAGAATGATGTGCGCTGAATCAGTCGCTCCAGAAATCCAATACTTTAATGGTTGCAGATGAAATGGCTCAACACGAGAGCTAACGCAAACGTAATGACATGTGAGATAAAACGCCATCATGTTTTAAAGAAGAGTGGCTTGATTAAGTGGTGGAAATAGCGGATGATGGGCACAGAATGGTAACAAAACTCCAAGACATTTACAGCGCTGTACAGGTCTGGTTTAAAGAGTGTTTTTGCTCAGGTGGCCGAAAAGTTTTGCTCAGCAAGAAAAAAAAAATTAGAGGGAACATTGGTCATAGGTATGAATTTTGTGTTGTCTGCAGTGTTGGGTGTAATTAAATGTTTTACTGTAATTAAATTACTTATCCACTGTAAAAGTAAAGTAAGGGATTACTGTTCATTTTTAGGTAATTTAATTACAGTTACTTACTGTATAAAGTACTTGCGTTACATACTGTAAATAATTTCAACAGTTCTAAAATCAATATTGAACTTGAAATCTAAATTTATTGTTGAATGCAGCCTCTTTAACCCTCTGCGCGCCGGTACGTTTACTTGCAGTTTTTCCTGATGACAGAGAAAAGACCCTAAAATACCCAGATACAGATAAGACTAAAATCAATTGAATCTTTAAACGGTCTACAGTACTTTTATTTGTGTACACTGACAATAAGAATAAAACATTGTGCTTTTGTAAAATAAAGAAAACAAACAGGGTGCGCTTTCTGCTGTTTTGGTCTCCATGAACTTCTTTCTGAAACGCGTCACAAAAATGAACCGAAACTCAGTGAATACTTGACACACATACATGAGAAATATGTCTATAGAAAGCTTGAAGTGTCTACTTTTAAATTAACTGATTCAAATCGAAAACAAATATTCTCTGATTATGTAATCCGTATGAAACTAAAGCGAGGTACAGTCTTTCCTGTCTCAGAGCTCATTATCTGCAGCTATACCTGCGAGCAAACGCCCTCATCACCAGGATACAAAAAAAAAAATTGATAACAAAAAAAAAAATCAAGATTCATCTACTTTTCATTGTTTTTGGAAGAAGACCTGCTATGAGGAATAAGCCGTAATTTACCTCTGAAGAACAGCGCGATCTGACTCGCTTTATTCGGTGGAGGAGATCAATTTTGTAATTTATTCTTACTTACATTAGTTCATGTGTTATTTTTACATAAACTTGTACGCATTTTACTAGTTGGACTTTAAACTATCTTGCCAAACTGAAATGCGTGAAAGCAGGTGAAATATGCTTTTCATCAACTTTTGAAATATCAACTTTTTATATAGGCTAAATGCCGTACAAAACGAGGATGTAATTTTTTTGTTTTTTATATTATTATGAGATATAATACGATATAGATATAAAGTAATGGGAATGCTTACACTGCAGCATGATGAATGATACAGTCCAGGAATGTTTAGATCAGTGTTTACTGATCTATTATTGTAACGCCCCTGTGGACTGTTTATTGTGGTTTCTTCCCCTTTTGTTGGTTTAGCCCGTACTAATCATTAGTTAATTACCCTCATTGTGCTCACCTGTCTGCCACTAATTATCCACCCTATATTAGTTCCTGTCTGTCTGAGCTTTAGTTGTCGGTTATTGTGAATGTTATCCCAAGTGTGTGTGTCTCACCTACCTGAATCTGCCTTGTTGTGTCTACATTAGGGCTGCACGATTAATCGCATGCGATATTTAACGCGCATCTTATCAGTAAAGCCGGTTCTGTAATCACATTGTGCTTTTGTAAAATAAAGAAAACAAACAGGGTGCGCTTTCTGCTGTTTTGGTCTCCATGAACTTCTTTCTGAAACGCGTCACAAAAATGAACCGAAACTCAGTGAATACTTGACACACATACATGAGAAATATGTCTATAGAAAGCTTGAAGTGTCTACTTTTAAATTAACTGATTCAAATCGAAAACAAATATTCTCTGATTATGTAATCCGTATGAAACTAAAGCGAGGTACAGTCTTTCCTGTCTCAGAGCTCATTATCTGCAGCTATACCTGCGAGCAAACGCCCTCATCACCAGGATACAAAAAAAAAAATTGATAACAAAAAAAAAAATCAAGATTCATCTACTTTTCATTGTTTTTGGAAGAAGACCTGCTATGAGGAATAAGCCGTAATTTACCTCTGAAGAACAGCGCGATCTGACTCGCTTTATTCGGTGGAGGAGATCAATTTTGTAATTTATTCTTACTTACATTAGTTCATGTGTTATTTTTACATAAACTTGTACGCATTTTACTAGTTGGACTTTAAACTATCTTGCCAAACTGAAATGCGTGAAAGCAGGTGAAATATGCTTTTCATCAACTTTTGAAATATCAACTTTTTATATAGGCTAAATGCCGTACAAAACGAGGATGTAATTTTTTTGTTTTTTATATTATTATGAGATATAATACGATATAGATATAAAGTAATGGGAATGCTTACACTGCAGCATGATGAATGATACAGTCCAGGAATGTTTAGATCAGTGTTTACTGATCTATTATTGTAACGCCCCTGTGGACTGTTTATTGTGGTTTCTTCCCCTTTTGTTGGTTTAGCCCGTACTAATCATTAGTTAATTACCCTCATTGTGCTCACCTGTCTGCCACTAATTATCCACCCTATATTAGTTCCTGTCTGTCTGAGCTTTAGTTGTCGGTTATTGTGAATGTTATCCCAAGTGTGTGTGTCTCACCTACCTGAATCTGCCTTGTTGTGTCTACATTAAAAGTCATTATTGGAATCCTTGTCGTCCTGCCTGCCTCCACACACCGTGTCGTGACAATTATCTGATGTCGATGTTTATAATGTGCTAAGCAATAAGAATTTAGTTTATAAAATATCAGAATGTTGTTTATGTACTGTGTGGTAACACAAATCATATGTGCATGAATGACAGTACAAAATCATGTTGTTGTTTTTTTTTTTGTTAGGAGTGGACAAAATTAGTATTAGTGACTGCCAATACATGTACAGTATGTCAGTGTGTGTATGAAATATGGTACTCATTGCTTTGAAAAGTTTAATGCTTAAAGCTTGATACATGTAATGTTTAACTTTTCTTAAGCTTATTTGTTATTCAGAAATTTGCCGTGTAATTAGTTAACCAAAGAGGGTTACTTTTTTTTTATTAAAATGTTTAAGTATTACAGTTGTTTTAAAGATAAAAAGCTAAACTATTCCATGTTTGACTCAAATTGAAAGAATAAAGATTTTCATTTCTATTGTCTTTTAGGATTTTAAGATTCAAGTAATTAAGTTACTTATTGAGTAATTAAATTTATTTTCAGACAGAGTAATTAGAAAAGAAATTTAAATGCAATATTGATGATGTAATTAGTAATTAATTACTTTTTGAAAGTAACTTACCCAACATTGGTTGCCTGTATATGATTTGCATTTTACGAATCACCAAGGACCACAGTTTCAGCTAAAAATCTTCTTTACCGCTCCACTGAAGAAGAAAAAAAATCAGCTACATCTTGGATGGCCTGAGGGTGAGTAAATTAATACTCAAATTTTCATTTTTGGTGAGTTATCCTTTTAACATGGTGCATTGGGCCCTATTTTTACAGACATTTCTTAAACTGTGTTCCTCACTCAGAGCTATTGTATGGCTTCAGAAAACTTGGAATACATAACATGGTTTACATAACATGGTTTGTATAGACCACTTTTTGGTACATGTTTTTGCCATTGTTAGAGCTTGACAGCTCCAGTCCCCATTATGAATCAGAGCTCTCTAGACATCCTGCAGTGCATCTGCTGTTGTGTTCCACAGAGGAAAGAAAGTAAGTCATATAGGTCTGGAACGACATGAGGGTAAGGAAATGATGGCAAAATCTTGGAATTTGCTAACAGCATGAATTTAATTGTCTTCAAAGTAAGTTTCCACCATATAGGTTTCGGTTTGTGCGTTTATTAAGTACAGACACAATAGTCAAGACAGGGTGAGAGGTATCAAGCACACAATTCTGGACAGCAACTCACAGCAGTGACCTAGATCAGCAGTTCTCAACTGGTGGATCACAACAATGTTCGGATAGGGCACATAGTAATAGCTCCAAGAAGCATTGGTTTACAGTGGTTTTAGAACAGCTGAGGGGTGTTTTTATGTAACGGAGTGGAGTTGTACAGTAATACTGATGTAATGAGGTCACAGGTGTGTGTTTATGCAGTATTTTACAATTGCTTCAAACACTGCCTAGCCAATCATAATTAAAGGCCAGACCTATTTTATAATAAACAATGCTGAATGCAACCAAGTATCTGACTGCATTCTACAGCAGGGATTTTCAACCTTTTAGGACATGCGCCCGCCCAAGTTTGTCTAATTTCACACAAATATCCATTAAAGCTACAGGAGTTACTTATTAGTTAAGAGCAGTGAGTGATTTCTCTTTTGCTGTTTGATTAAAACTATTAACATAAGAAATGCACGGATCCGTTATGCTGATGTACATCCGATATTTTCTTTACTGTTTACATTCACTAAAGACATAACCGACTGACAGCCATTCAGATATAATTTTGTGTGTATTTGCTGAAGACGCGAAATAGAACTCAATTTGGTATTCACCTGCTGTCTGAGAGACGGCTTTCTGTGTGTGCGTGCACAGAAACAATCTATCACAGCGCACAACTGTCGACTTATTAGCAGTAGGACTAATCAGACTGCCCCCTAGAGGATGGCTAAAGATTTGCTAGCTTGTATTCATAGTTACTAGAGTGTATGCCTCTAACTTAACAGGTTCTCGCACCCCACAGGTTGAAAACCCCTGTTCTAGTGAACTAGAAACCATGGCCACTACAAGTTATGTCTACTATAAGTTACTCCCCCTACAAAGAAACAGCCAATTGAATATTGTCATCACAGCTCCTCCCCCCAGGAATTGCTGATGTCATTACTAGTACCGCTCTTTACTTTACTTTTCTGCTACTGCATTTAAGTGCATAACTGAATATTTCACTAATAGCAGTTATTTCATACTTGATGAGAAATGACAGTAATATGATCTTACAAACATAATAAATAAATTAAACATAAAATAAATATATCATATACTTGAAAAAATAATTTCAATGGTTGTATCAATGACATCCACAAGCCATTTTTCCTTTGCGGAAGGCGTAACTTGTAGTGGTCATGGTTTGTAATACTTTGGGACGCGGAAAGACCCAAATAATAAAATGAAAAATATAAATAGAATAGGTAAATAGAATGAACTTTTAAAACTAAAGAGAACATCACATATATTGTTATTGATGTCAAAGCCAGTACATCCAACCCAACTTTATGTTTTTTGTACAAATTCCTCGGTTTTAGCTTAAATCTTCACTTACTTGGTTCTTTACATATTTGTTAAAAGTTAAATTAGACAGATTCAAACATGGGCAGGTAATGATAACATAACAGTTCCCAACATACCCTCTACCTCAAAATGATCAAAGCTACAAAAGAGTAAAAGATACAACTCAAACTACAATAAATTGTTTGTGTCAACCATACTGTGTTTTGTGTGATTAATTAAAGCTAACAAAGTGTTTTGTGAATTATCTGTCCAACCTGAATGCAAAACATTGTTGATTTGAATCACGGCCAGTCAGAAGATATTTAATGTTTAATATATGCAGTGGAGAATTTTGAACCAATAAGATTGCAATTTTTCTGTGGGCTGGACTATGTAGTGCAAAGGTTGCAAAAATAAAACCAAACAATAAAAAAATGTCCCGTCACTTGTTGCGGGACTCAAAATTTACATTCTTGTTGCTTTATCGCATTGCAAATATGTTTCAATTTAAAGACCCTTTTTGAACAAGTTGAAGCAAAACCAGTTGAGAAGCACTGATCTAGATCAATCCACTAATCAACCAGAAAAGCAAAGTAAATTGCTCTCACACCCTCAAGCAGTATGGATGTAGCAAGCTACTTCTATTCACTACTGCGAAAGACGTGGGGAACGAAAAAAAAACAAAAACAGACAAGACTGAAAAGGACAGCATGAAGAATGACACAGTGAAAAGGGGAAAAGAAAAACAACTGCTTAGTGCAAGATTGATTCCCACACTAGTCTATCCCTGTGTTTAAGCTGAGACTGAAGGACTGTGTGGAAAAAATCATGTCAGGAAATCCCAAAGGGGGAAACAGTGTGAAAAGGTGACGTGACCAAGTGAGGAAAACAGGTTTGCAATCAGAATGGAGTATCTGTCCGCATCGAGAAGCATGCAGCATATGGAGCAAACAGTGCCAGGAAGTTTGTCATTCATCTTTCTGTGTGTTAGGATGCGATACGACTTTGCAGCCAGAAGATATGGCGTTATTTTAATGACAAATGTCGAGAGCGCATTATTGTAGCGCGAAAGCACATTAATATAATGCGCGAGCACGGATCTCTCCGCTCGTGCGCGGATTTCCTTTGCTCTCGCACAAAACCGGACGCGCGCGCTCAGATAGACGCTGCTCTCGCCCGGAGAGAGTGCACACACTTAAAACGTTTCTCCTCTCACTCAAACTGTGTCCTGTGCACTCTCAAATCTCTCTGTGCTCATGCGCTATAGATATGAATTCTTTTCGCACCTGAATTAAACATTGTCAAAGGTTATCATTATGCACTTTTAAAAAGTAGTCTCAAAACAGATTTGTGCAGGGCCTTTCCTTGATTTTTTTATTGTTGTATTTTTGTTTTAACATAAACTGGTTATTGTAGCTACTTTGTTTTACTATATCTCTTTTATCTTTGTATTTTGATCTTTTCTGCAAATGCACACATGCATCTCTCTGTAAAGTAGGCTACTTTGTAAACACTATTTTAAAAGGTACTATATAAATAAAGCTTTAACCAATCAGACCTCCACAACTGACCGATGAAAATACTACGTGAAAT